TGCATGCAGTCTCGCTTCTCTTCAAGTCTTAGGTCTCTACATACCTCTACATACCATGCTCCCCTAGATCTTTCCATAGTATATCTTCAAATTTCTTATTTTGGGTTCAATCCGTTAAAACCTCATATGGCGCTTTAAGCACCACCTTAACATCTTGGAAGCTAACTACGCTATCTTCCTGTCAGAACTTTAAAAGGTCCAGAAATTTAACTATTTCTCTGCTTAGGGGTATCATCGTTGTGACAGTTGTACTCCTCCAACGGTCGCATTCATCTTAATTAATCTTTATCTCACTCTTAATGAAGAGTATTTACATTTACTTAATTGATCTTAATATTCTCCCCCTCGAAATATGGCATGAACTTTACAGCCATAATTTTGATAACTATTCAGAAAGCCTGTAAACGAGAAAACACTTATAACTTACTTCATTCACATGATTGTGTCATCTAAACAAAGTTATTTCTTGATCCGTTTCGGAGTACACTTTCCTTAATTCACTTTAAGAACTCAACGAAGTCTTTCATTAGCAGTACTTTTGTAAGTCACGCTTGCATCTTTTTCTTGTCCTTTGGTTGGTATTGACCATGACGATGCATTTCTATTGTGCCATGGTCAATATTAGGATAGCCTAAGAGCTACCCAAACTTCTCTCGCTTTACGGGATATAAAAATATATGATTCATCACAAAACTTCTCCCGCCATGCTGGATGGACTAGCATAATTACTATACCAAAACTTCTCCCCATGCGGGATACATCTATACTAAAGCTTAGTCATGACAACTAAAACATTCACTTATACTTCATTTTCTAATTAAATCTTCCCGTTAGTTTCAATTTAATCAGAAAATTAGTAAACTAGCAAAAACTATCATGAACTGGTTTGACTCAAACCTTTTCATTCACATACCCCAGCATTGCAGCCCGTTGGCATGCAGCCGAGTGATCTCGTCGGTTAAATAAACAAGGTGCTTCTGCATCAATTCTACATCACCATTGGACAGAAAATAGAATTAATGCATAAAACTCAGAAATTAACTTGAAATCCATATAACTACTCTTCATAATTAAATTCTCCCGTTGGTTCGAATTTAATTGGAAGATAATCAACTTCATTGCAGCGAAAACATGTTAATAAAATATATTCTATTAATTCAGGAGCATTTTTTGGTCCTTATTTGCTCTCTGAAAATTTGACCACGTTGGTGTAAAATTTATCATAGATTTAAACTTCAAACTTAAATTTATTATAATATTGTCATCATCAGCGTTGGTTATAAAATGATAATACCATAATCTTACTTAAACAAAGAATGGACTACTCCTCTAATTAAATTTTTCCGTTGGTTCCAATTTAATTAGAGGATCAACATAATCATAATTTTTTAAATATAACTGCTCTTCAAATTAAATTCTCCCGTTGGTTCGAATTTAATTAGAAGATAATCAGCATTAAACTTTGTAGCGGAAACTTGCTCGGGGACCTGCGTGCCCTGGGCTGAAGGTCTCGTGGCCCCCGCCTTTGGCCTCTCCTCCGCCTGTCACTCGGGGACTCCCTTCGCTTGTTGCTCGGGGACTCCCTTCGCCTGCTGCTCGGGGACTACCTCCCCTCCCTTCGATTGCACCTCCGCGCGCGTGTTGCGCAGAGGTGTTTTAGTGCTCGGAGGAGGAGCCACTGGAGCCTCATCATCATCCGACCACTCGGACATCGCCGCACTCTGGGTCCGAGTGGTCTGGTCGCCGCCAAGCGAGATGCCGCCCGGCTTGCGGGGAGTTGCACTCGCCGTCCTCCTCTTCTTACGGGCCGGCTCATCTGCCGCTGCCCTCTTCCCCCGGACTTTCTCAAACACCGAGGGGGACTCTCCGTCCGACCAGCGTCCGCGCCTCCGGACTCCGACAAGGCGCTGACGGCACCTTCCTCATGCTGAGTTGTTGGCCGGGCGTCCACTGCCTTCGGCCAATCGCTCCTCGGCACGCCCGAGAAGTACGCCGCTCGTTCCTATGAATGGATCTTTCCACAAGTGAATTAGTTCACTGCTCGGCAACGGTACAAGATTAAAAAGGATCAGGAACAAACAATTGAGATGTTTACCTGAGGAGCCGGGTTCATATAGTTGGAGGGCCTAGTCTACCCTGACACGCTGAACGAGGCATTTGGAGCGAATAGCTCTGTAGGCCCGCTCTAGCACATCATCCCTCGTCAGCCTCTCTGTCCTCTCCCGGGTGCCGTCGGTGTCCCCCTTGAAGTCAAAGCCCGCGTGGGCCCTCTCCTTGTAGGGCTGGACGCGGCGCACTATGAAACTCGCCGCCACCAGTGCGTCGTTCATCTTCACGCCCTTTATCAGGCTAAGGAGCTCCCTCACCTGCTCCATATCGACACTGCTCGGCATCTCCGACCAGCTCTTCTGGTTCTTCAGAACGTGGTCGACGTTGCAATGGATGGCAGGATGGCTCTGCTTTATGTAGAACCACCTGGCGTTCAACCCCTTCAGCGATGTGTTCAATGGTACAGTGATGTACTCGCCTACCATCCCATAGCAGAGTTGTAGATATACGCCACCGACCACTCTGGAGCCACCGTCGCCCTTCTTCTTCAGCCGGAAGAGGTTGAAGTGGGGAAGAATTTCGAGATACTCCTCATAGAAGTGGATAAAAATAGAGATGTGCAGGATGGTGTTTGGGTGGAGATTGCACAGACTAACTCCCCATAACTCCAGCAGATCCCTCAAGAAAGGATGAACAGGAACACCCAATCCGCGCTAGAAGTAATCCTCAAAAACTACAGCTTCGTCGGTATGAGGCATTAGGTAGGGTTCACCATTGGCCGACCGCCATCCGGCGGTGACACGGTCCGGAAGAACGCCCGCCTTCACCATCCTGTTGATCTTCGCCTCTCCATGAAACGACGGCACCCACTCATTGTCACAGCTGGCTCCGGCGGCCGCCTTCTTCGGGTTTCCAACTCCCCTCTTCGGCGCCATCTCTCAGATCTGGTTTGGGATTGGCGGCGGAAGTGCGTGTGAATATAAATCTGGAAGCACGAGGGCTGAGGAGGAAGACGAAGTGGCAAAGTGGCAAAGGTGGGAGCGCGGAGTGCGGCGGCGCAATTATAAAGCACTCCCCCCACCTTTCGGATTCGAGGGTTTTTGGGAAACCGCTCCACGATTTGCGCCTCTATGAATTCTCCAAAACGTCGTGGTGGGCCGTTACCTGGGCTTTCACGCAACTGCAGCCCGTATCACCCATTTTTTCGCTGCAATTTATTACTGCTCATCGAATATTCGCCGACTTCTCCGCAATCCATTAAGGCTCAGTAACTCCTACAGTACAGCTATTACTCCGGTTTTTTCTCCACGATTTGTTTTCTCCAAGATATCCACTTGTGGCTCGGGGACTACGTCATCAATACAACTTGGTTCCTCACCACACTAGGGACTTTTTTTCTGTTGACTGTTGTTTCCAACCGTGGCACCACGTGACCACGTCACCTACTATCAGGCTCGAGGACTAAGTGGGCACACTTCACCATGCGGTGAATGTGCTTTTCTCATTTCGGGGCTACACCCGGGGACTGGCTGCCTGCTCGGCTGGCCTTCTGCTTTTCTTCTACTTTGGACCCTGGCACCACGTGACTACGTCACCTACTGTCAGGCTCGAGGACTAAGTGGGCACACTTCACCTTGCGGTGAGTGTGTTTGCTTTAAACTGGAAGACTCCGCGCCTCTTGAAGTTGAAGAAGACTATCTCCTTTTCTCGTGGTCGGACTCTAAGTGGGCACACTTGGTCCACTGCGAGGAAATTTTTAATTTTGAACTTGAGCTCCTTACATCCTTATGGCAAGCCTTACTTGGGATACACTGCTCGGCGACGACTCACACTGCTCGACGACGGTTCACAACTGCTCGGTAACTCATCACGGTGGTCGGACCATGAGTCTGACTGCTCGGCTTTGTTCACACATGCTCGGACAAGCTCAAGACGACGTTGCACAACAGATACAAGGCGCTCGGGGACTAGATGTGGGAGATACAACCCCGGATACCCACAGCAAACCACATGGGCTGCACCCCCAGGGATGGCCCAACCCACAAGACGAAGCCTTGCGGAGCACGGCGCTGCTCGACGCGTCCCGCAAGACACCGGGAAGATATCCTGAAGATACTACGAGATCTGTTAGGATACGTATGACCCTATGATTCCTATAATCTGTTATTACTTTCCGGTTATCTCCTAGGTCTAACCGACTTGTAACCCTGCCCCCGAACTATATAAGGCGGGCAGGGACCCCCTCCAAACGCACACAATATCATACGATAGTCAATACAATCCAACAGACCACAGGAGTAGGGTATTACGTCGTGCTGATGGTCCGAACCTGTCTAACTGTTGTGTCTCTGTTGTCTTCTTGTTCTCGATTACACATCTCTGCCGATCAATCTACCTTCGTGGGATACCCCTCGGAGGGCTGCCGACGATATTCTATCGACAGCGACGACGTGGCGAAGTGCAGCGGGCCGGTGGTGGCACTGCAGAGGCGACGATGAAGTCGGTGGCGGCTTCCTGTCGCTGGCAGCACACTCTCTTTAGATCGGGTTAGAGTTGGGATAGAGGTGGGGCGTCTGGCGGCTCAGAGGAACCTCGTACCTTGTGCCATGGCCCCAACTACCCTTTTATGGTACTGTGCGACGAGGGTTCACCAACCATATAGTGGTTGGACGCCCCCGGTCAGGGCGTTGATCCAAGGGCCCAATTGACCGTGACTTGTGGGGAGCAAGTAGGCATACCATATTGTATGATGCAATACTACCAGCACCGAGAGCCTTATCAAAAAAAACAATGAGGGGGTTTATATGTCAAAGAAAACCGACTTCTAAAATGGAACAGAAACAGAGGTCATCCAAACCTCGGCTGCACAACGTGCTAAGTGCAACCATCCCTTATTCAGCTATACTATGGCGTTGGTGAAGCTGGCTGCTCCAGATTTATTAGCCATCTATCTACGCGGAGAGGAGCTGCTCACGGCGGGCCTTGTTGGCCGCGAGGAGCCTGTCCCTGTCGGGCAGGGCCGCCTTCACTACGTCAACGGCGAGGAACCGGTCGAACCATGCCTTCATCAGCGGCAGCTCCTTGTCGGTGACGACGCTGGCGCCAATCACCTCCTCGACGACGGGGAGCCAGTGTGCGTACCACCCGACGATGATGTCGAGGTAGCCCACGGCGTCTCCGCCGAAGAACTTCTTCCCCTCCAAGGCCGTCTCCAGGGTCTTGAGGCACTGCTGGGCCTCGTGCACCGCCTTGCGCTGCGCCTCGCCGGTCGCGGTGAAGATCGGGTACAGAGCAGCGTTGCACTGGAGTAGACAGACATCAATCCTGTATTCCTATCACTGCATCGAAAAGACTAACAGAGCCGATCATGTAGCTGCAAGCCTGCAATTTGCGCGTACCTTCTCTTCTGCGAACCTGGCCTGGGCACGCTCGTAGGGGTTGGCCGGCATGATGGGGTAGCCGCCCTTCCAGGCCTCGTCGATGTACTCGACGATGATGGTGGACTCCGCGATCGGCTTGCCGTCGTGGACGAGCACGGGGACCTTCTTGGTCACCGGGTTGTAGCGGAGCAGGTCGGCGCTCTTGTTGGCGAGGTCCTCGTCGACGTACTCGTACTCGACGCCCTTCAGCCGGAGCGCCCACTCCACACCATAGGGCTCGCCCACATCCCGAACATCTTCACGCCCTTCTCGGCCATTGCTGGAGGCTGGAGCTCTGGCTCTGCTCCTCTGCTGCTGGTGCTGCAACTACAACAGATGAAGGGGCAGAGATCTCATCCTGCCACCTTATAGATCAGAGATCAGGAACCCTTCAGAAGTCAACAGTAGGGTTCCGTGTCATGGTTGCCTCCTACGGAGTCCATTGGAATTCGTATTATAATTGAAAGACAAGGACACCGGAGTGATGGTCTGGTCAGAGCGTGGCACAATAGTAGGAGTAAACGTAATCCAGAAAAGGCAAGCCTCTTGAAGAAAAAAATTACTTCATTGAGGAAAAGCCCAATTACGCTAAAACATACTAAGGACTTGTTTAGATGCCATTCAAATTTCAAGTTTTTTCACTCTCTCTCCATCACATCAATTTTTAGCCGCTTGCATGGAGTATTAAATGTAGATAAAAAAAATAACTAATTACACAGTTTAGTTAGAAATCACGAGATGAATCTTTTAAGCCTAGTTGTCCACGATTGGACAATATTTGCCAAATAAGACGAAAGCGGTACTATTCATCGGGTTAAAAAAATTGCAAAGTGAACAAGGCCTAATGAACTGTTCGAATGGTTATTTGCAATTTATTATTTTCATTTCAGAAAGACATGTTTCTAAAGCGTGATGGCTGCTCAACTCAACCACTTGACAACGTTACACTGACACAAGGAGATTAGAGGAAGACCGGTATGCATACAGCATCAGTCGGTCTCATGCTTGTTGAATTTCTCTATTTATCTCGCCTCATGCTCCAAACACGGCAAATCTCACCAACAGAGCATGGCGGTTGCTCAAATAAACACAAACAGCTCCAGTTGGAGTTTATTACCACATTACATCACGGATCATGAAGAAATGTGGATAGTTCTGCTTCATCAAGCCGCAATGGCAACCTTCACAGGATGGATATATGGCATGTGCGCATACTAATATTCTCACGGGAATACACCTCACAGCAAACTCTGCCCCAGGATCCCCTATCAGCAATCATAGGTCCCGTAAGGCCTGAGCGACATTCCTTGATATCCTTTCATGAATTGGTTCCTGAATTTTACAAATGCATTGATTGTAAGTACTTGTTTATCTGCTAAACTAGAAGCATAAACAAAGCCTTCTGCATACCTGTGCTTCCAAGATCTCAAATTTTGTTTTTGTTATTGTTTCAAACAGGAAAATGTACCTGCAGTGGATATTCAAGTAAATTATCATTCAACTAATAATAAAATAAAATTTCATTCTTGCAACAGTTTCACGTACAGAATGCGCATAAATTATGTTGGACAGGCCAAAAGATAGTGGGAAAAAGGAAAGCTTTGAAGTGAGAACCAACAGCAGGAACTTATAGAGAGATACATACCGCCAGGCCAGCTCACAAACCAACTCTTCTGGAGCTTCTGGCAGAACCTGAATGTTTTAGGGTACATGTAAGTTTCCACTCAACAGAATTGAGTTGGATCGTTATGGAACAAATTTCATAAGTGGTTCTAACAACTGTATGAAGAAAATATACCGCGTCTTCATATGGATTGCAGTTGTTCTTGAACCAAAGCCTTAAAAACTCCTGTGATAATTAAGTGATATATTCAGAAACCTCGTTAAAAATGAATCATAAGGTTTTAAAGGCATAAAGTGCATCAAGGATTCAAGGTAATCAGCCCATACATCATGTGTATGACTCAAAGGTAGTTTACCTTATCAACATTTTCAGGTTCAAGGCCAGATTTGAATCTATCTTCATATGAATTAGCAATCCAATATCTGCTGGAGTCAGGAGTATGAACCTGCTTGACAAAAAGAGGATACCATGAATTTTATAAACCTAACCATTCAGCATTTCAGTATCTCAAAGTTATCACACCATTGTACTCAACATAATTATAAAAAAAAATTAGATACTTCTCGGAACAGAAAGTTTTCAACAACATGAAGTGATCAGTTAATGATATAACAATTCTGCTTATATTTATACATATAACAGCTAGTTAGTACTATATGATTCCACAAAATGCATTGTCACTGTTGTGAAAAGTAAAACCATGCATATTCCTCCGCTAGTTACTGGGTATAATGAGCACAAGGTTAAGAAACATTTGCAGAACCATGTCAGAAATATAACCTCATCAATCAACACGATTGTCCCGTCAGCTGTTTTTCCAAACTCATACTTTGTGTCAACCAGAATTAATCCATTCTCTATGGCCACTTTCTGCAAATAGAAAACCGAAAAGAGTATCAGCAAGTTACACAATTTTAACATAGCTGTAGCACAGGAGACTACCAAGCAAACACATTTCTCAAAACAACTAGTAACTGCAGCGCATGTACGACTAAAGCACATCAAAGCAAAATTGGTGAACCATTTTTTCGCAGTGTTTGCAATTGAAAATTAAATCGTAATGGTAATGTTACTGGACATAGACCTGAAAATACCTCAACAGAAATAGAAAACGTGACGATTCATTACCTGTCCATATGCAAACAAGCTTAAGGCTTTGCTTCCAGTCTCATGAAAATCCTCCTTTGACATCAACCCTGACTTGATTATCTGCAGAATAAAAGGGCAATGTAAGGCCATCTTTGAATAACAGAGTCATAACAAGGGGTGATGCAGGCTAGCAGCAGCAATAAAATCCAAAAATAAAATAAAACTAGCAATTTTCAAAGGATCATGTTTTAATACCATTCAGAAATCATTCAAAGACTACCACATTACTCGTTCCTGCCAAAATATCATATTAACAGTACCAAACAAAAAAAGACATCAACATATGGACAAGCAAACAAATTAGTGTAACTTCTCAACTGTCAAGAATAAAGTCCCCAGATAGTCGCTTATCACATCCCAAATCATAGGGCCACCTATTGACATATGGAATTCCAATGTTTGATTACTCTACGAGCATCTATTTATCCTCTTCCTATGTAACCTAGTGTCCGTAACAACTTACACGAGGCTATAACTCTAAGATTACAAGAGGAAGTATATTAAAAGCAAGAGACACCTCATCTGGAGTGACAGGGACATCATGATCTGCAGCTTTAGTTGTTGGTGTCAGTATATTTGCAGATAGCTTCTGATTCTTTACCATGCCTGGAACAGAGAGGCCAATTACCAGTCACTAGAAAGAACAAAACAACATCAAATTGGATAATTCTTGTCAGCATAAAGCATACCATCAGGGAGAGCATTTCCACAATAGTTCCTTACACCCTTATCATAAACTGTCCATAAAGATGTATCAGTGCTTCCTGTAACAAATCCCCTCACTGAAAATTAACACGCAAAGATAAGATTAGTGAGAATGATAGCAAAAACATGACAATTCTGTATAAAATGCTTGCGAATGGGTATGCGGAAAAAAACAATATATGCAAGAAGCCTTAGGTCTCACCAACAAATTCAACTGGAAAAACTGTGCACCTTTTGGCAATTGTTACATTCTTATCAGGAGAAGACACTACTGCATTTGGAGTAATGTGACGGGTCTGATTGAACCACCAAAGGCTTGTCTCATTAAGAACCTGAAATTACCCATACTGACATCACAACAAAATACCTGATTATTGAAACACTAATTTCTCATCCTAAAAGTACTCTGCTTACAAACTTCAGTATGTGCTAGTATAATACATGTATACAGATTAAAAATAAAGAGGTAGATCCTCAATTGACAAAATTCTGGACAATACTGTGAGCACATACTTGTATTATTAATCACTTGTGACATTGGGCCATGCTGTCAAAGTATTAATTTGAGTATACTGATTGGCGCACCTGATGTTGACATTTATTTACAAAATGCACTAAACAGACTTCCCTTGAGTCCGAGGAACGACGAAAGCTTACACAGTTGTATTTGAACAACAAAAGCAGGAGGCCAACACATGGAGAAGCAGTTCAGTGCGATGAATCGACAACCCCTTAGTGTTATGACATTGTCGTGTGAAAGTGCCAAAAGATTGTCAAAACTAGCTCTGGGTAACGTTAAGATGGTGATCATACCTGCCCTTTAAACGGGATGGAAGCAAGTACGCGGTCGAAAGCACTCTGCCTGTCGGTGGTCACCAACACCAGGTGCTCCCCGCTCTCGTACACGTCCCTCACCTTCGCACCGAGCACCAACGGTCACTTACTACAGCCATTTAGAAGAATATTCCGAACGATGACGTGCCAGTGGTTTGCTCACCTTGCCCTTGGCAGCGAGACGGAGCCCTGACACCGCGAGGTCGAGGCGGGTCTCTCCGAGGCAGTTCCCCATGGCGGAGCGTGCAGCGAGCAGCACGGCCTCGCAGTGGCCCGGGTCGGCGGCGAGAAGGGAGGAAGGGGCCGCCGCGCCGCTTCCGCCGGCCGCCGCCGCGAGGGGCGGGGTGCGGGGAGAAGAAGAGGACATAAAGAGGTGGGGGAAGCGAGCATGGGTTGAGTAGGACGCGGCCCGGCGGAGTGGTTTAGCCGGGTTCACTCCGCGGGCGGCGGCGGCGGCGGGACGCGCGCAGGGGGACATGGGAAAGGCGGCGAAGAACCTTTCTGGCAAGAGAAGCGGGTTCCCCCCTTTTTTTTTTGCGGCCGGCGGGTGTGCCTGCTTTGGGCTGGCTGCTGCGCGTCAGACTGGCATTCGGTTTTAACCGACAATTCGTTCGGTATTTGAAAAGTTTGGTTTGTCAAGAAACAACACCCGATCGGTTTACATCAGAATCGGAAACCGATAGGTTCGGTTTCGGTTTTTTAGTTCGGATTTTCGGTTTAAACCGAAAAGACCGGAATACCTCAACGAGAGAAGCACAGGCGATCTGTCCCGTGGTTCCGCCTGGGTGACCTTGTGTGCGCCGGCCTGCTCGCGCCGTCGCCGTGCGCTGGCGCTGCTCCTCGCGCCGCCGCCGCGCGCCTGCTTGCGCCGTCGCCGTCGCCACCGCACACTGCTGGTCGCGCTGCCGCCTCGCTATGCTCGGGCCGCTACCGCGCGCTGCTCCTCACGCTGCCGCTGCCTCACGCTGCCGCCGCGCCCTGCAGCTAGGGTTAGGGATTTGGGGAGCCGCGCAAAGCGAATACGTGACGGTGTCTCTGTTTCCTGAGGAGAGGTCGTGGCCTTGGGGAGGGAGCCTTTTCCCCGTGTACCATTAAAAAAGATGGACTTTTTCTACATGCCGCTAAAAAGTTCGGACTTACCTAGGTACCATGACACTTTATTTCTTTGTCCCCCAAGCCATTCCGTCCATTTTCGCTGGTAACGGTGTGTATCGACGAGAAGAAAAAACCGAAGTGCCATCAGTCTAGGGAGGATGAGTGAAATTGTCATTTGTCCTGTATGCCACTCCTTGACCAAGCGTTTGAACGCCAGCAAAAACGGAAGGCGAAACAGTTCCTTAGCCCGCTGCTTTTCTAATCCCCATCTGACGATGATTACCCTGGTGTGTTGTTTAGTGTAATAATAATGCTCTCTTTCTTCCCTTTGCCCTGCTTCTTTTGCCGCCAGCTCACGGCTCAGGTCTTACAGCTAGCTCCCAGCGCAGCCTTGTCCCTACCGTGTGTGTCTGCGTGCTCCTCGCGGGTCTCCTCCGGTCAATCCCCGGTCCAGTCAAACCTACCAGTCTACCACCGTGATCGGTCGATGGATCGATCTCCAGCAGTAAATCTGTGATCGTGGCGATCCACTAGTCCAAATATTTGTAATGCCATGCCGGCCGCCGGTGCCGAACAACCGATCCGGTCGAGCATGTAGACATGGGTTACTGATTGTCACGCAAAGGCGAGAGAGGCGGGCAAAGCAGTGGTGTGGACGCCGCTGACGGCCGGGCGCAAGCGGTGAAGAGAGAGCCGAGGCCGGGGAGATAGTGGTGCTGAGAGATTCTCGCGACGAGGGAGCATGTGCCCGGCCCCGCCACTTGTCGTGTGCGCCACCACCGTGCGGCGGACCAGATGGTGGCGTTTCCCGCCATCTCGACGCGCCCGGCGTCGGCGTGTCCCGGTCGCGTGGCGGAGGGGGGCTGTTGGGAGGCGAGGCGACGAGGTACGCGTACGTCAGGTACAACTCTCGTGGATCTTAGGATCGATCTGGTCATGGTCATACACTGGCGGCGCCCTCTGTAGCTCTGCTCATGCGTGCTGTGCACACTGCATGCACTGGCAAGCATGCGATCGATCGTTGTCTTGATGTCGGACCCGCCCACCCCGGACCGGACGTGACCACGTGCACGCGTGCGGGAGCATGAGACATGGTTAACGAACCAGCGGCGGTCTTTGCTGCTAGCGGGTGGCGGGGGCGGTAGCGCTTGCTATTTTTAGGAAGCTCTCTAGGCTCTGGTCGCTATAGCTTACCTTCAGATTTGCATCGATCGCTTTGGATATGATTGTTGTCTTGCTGATATATGATATTGCATGTCTACGCTCCTACTTGGTCAAAATAATGACACCGACCAATGCATTGGAAAGCGTAGAACAGATGGTGCAAAGGCACGCTACCGATGAGCTAGCTAGACGAGAGATTCACATCCACATGTATGTTTTGTCATAGGTTTGCTTGTATTCCAATTATATTAGAAGATATTTTTCTCAAAAAAAATATTAGAAGATATTTGTCTAAGTTACACCCATTGATTGTTGCAGGGGACGGATGATGATGTTGTGAACTGGTCACATGGAAAGGAGCTGTGGAAACTAGCAAGGGATCCTTATGACCCACTCGGATCAAAGGGGAGGTCATCGCAACTCGGAGCTGTACCAGCACTTCATCCGCCACCTATCCGAGTTCATCCGTGAGATGGAGAACATCACAACAAAGATCCGGCTCAAGAAGATCAGCCGTCCCTACAGCCCGTAAAGAAGGCCCACCACCGGGCGAACACCGCTGACGACAACCTTCACTTCTTAACTGCTGCTTTGCCCAGATCCGAGTCCGCAGTTTACCTACCCCCTGTGTATACTGCGCAGCGTGGCCGAGGAACTACTTTGCCTTCCGTTTTTCCTGGTGCTCAAACGCTTGGTGAGGGAGTGGCACATAGGGCAAACGGCAATTTCACTCATCCTTCCTAGACTGATGGCACTTCGGTCTTTTCTCCTCGTCGTTACACACCGTTACCAGCGAAAATGGACGAAATGGCTTGGGGGGCAAAGAAATAAAGTGTCATGGCACCTAGGTAAGTCCGAACTTTTTAATGGCATGTAGGAAAATACCATCTTTTTTAATGGTACACAGAGAAAAGGCTCTTGGGGAGGGGTTGAGTAATGAGGAGCTGTTGAGATGGGCCAAGGTGGCCAGATGGGCTATGTTAATTTGGGCCATTGGGGGGACGGAGACGGGACAGACTGCCAGCCTGGTAGACTTCTGCGAATCTGTTCGGAGCTCACGGAGTCACAGGTTTCTTCGGTTTTGCGGGTTGTTCGGTTGTCCAGCTCGTGAAACCGAAGCTGAAACCATAGTTGGCCATGCAGCTCGAGGCTCATCGGCCCGGCCCAAGGCCTGTTTTTTTAGCCCGGCCCAGGCATGGCCCGGAGGAGCAGGCCGTGCCTAGGGTAAGTGGCCCGGCCCGGCACGGCCCGCTCCAGAGCTGGCGGCCCGGCTTGCCAACCCCACGCGGCCGCGCCCCTAGGCCCCCAGCTCACCTCCTCGGCTCCCCCCTCCGCCTAACCCTATCTCCTCTTGCTGCACGCCGCACGCGGCCGGATCCTCCTCGATGGCGTCCACCGCCACCTCTCGCGGGCTGCCCCTGCCTCCTCCTGCCACGCGCAGGTGCGCGGCCGTCGCCTCCAGACGGATCCGCCTCGGGGCCGAGCACGCCGACGCCCGCCACCACCTCTCACAGCTGCCCCTGCGTCGTCCATCTCTCCCTCCCTGTGCGGATCTCTCTCCCTCTCCCTCTCCCTCCCTCCCTCAGCTCAGATCCGGTGGCCTCCCTCTCTCCCTCATCCTCGATGCACGGCGGCGCCCTCCCTCCCTCCCCCATCCTCCATCTCTCCTTCCCCGTGTGGATCCCCCTCTCCCTCTCCCTCCCTCCCTCAGCTCAGATCCGATGGCCTCCCTCTCTCCCTCATCCTCGGTGCACGGCGGGCTCCCTCCCACCCTCTCCCATGCCGTGCCTCCTCCGCTCAGATCCGGCGTAGGTACGATGACCAAACTCCCTCCCTCACTCTCCCTCGGCGGCGCGCGGCTAGGAGCGCACGTGCGGGCAGATCCGGCGACTCCCTCCCTTTCTTGTTTTCTCTGATTCTCTCGTCTCCATCTCGCTCACCCCCTCTTCATCTCCTCTCCATCGCTTGAGGGAGGGCGCCGCCTGCGCAGCTCCTGCCCCCGAGATCCGGAGCTCCGCCGCTCCCAGCCCCGGCGGCCACCTCCTCCTCGCCTCCCCGCTCGGCCGCGGCGCACGCGCCAGCCTCGAGCATGCCGGCAGCCGCCCTCCTCCCCCAAGGCCCCCGCGCGGTGGCTGGCCTCAGTGGGCCTCGGGCTGGCACGGCCTGTGAAAATGGCCGTGCTTCTCGGCCGCAAGACGGCACGAAATCGCCCATAGGGCCGTGCACGGGCCAAGGCCGTGCCCGTGGCCCTATGAGGCACGGGCGTGCCGCCGCCCGCCTGGTTATCGGGCGGGCCGTGGCCCACGGGTCGTCGTGTGCGGGCCGGCCCGCCCGCTAATATATATAGCTGAAACCGAGCCTCGAAATTCCGAGACATAAAAACCGAAATCGAAAAAAAAATTAATTCGGTTCAGCTTGGTTTACGGTTTAAAGTGCCCAGCCTGAGCTGCGTGGGGTTTTTGGTGCACGTTGCCTAGACCTGGAGCTACTTCCCGTACTAAAATAAATGTAGTTTTAGAATTCTTGAAAAACATTATTATTTGAAAATTACATATTTATTTATATCAAAAGCTATTCTAACATGTAACGATTGCATTATGAAAATAAAGAAAGAACAAATCTACCATAACTAAATGTATCGTATTCATAAAGTGCATTTATTTTATGATAAGTTTCAAATACTTCAAGTACACTTATTTTGGTAGAATTACTCCATATGTAGTGCCTCTAGTAGACGTCCTGCTGAGCAGGACCGCTCTACAACCTGTTCGGGAGGCCGTAAACGATCGTGGATTATTTACTGCTGGCTGGTTTGGTGTGAGAGAAAAACACTGTTCCCGGCTGGAAATTTACGATCGTTTACGAGCAAGCGAACAGGCTGCTAGTGCTCTGGTTTTATCTTCTTTGATGGAGAAACGTTTTTGGAGAGACTAGCCCCTGAGCGTTCAGATATAGTGTCCTTCCAGACGAACGCTTGCGTCTGTTGATCCGCGCGTTTTCAATAATTATACACTTAGGGTGCCTATGGATGTTGTTTCATGCTCCCCTCTTCACCTCATGCTCTACGTCTAGTGTCTGCCCATGGATGTAGTTTCGTGCTCCACTTCGCCTCATGGTCCGCGCATGCTGCCCGCCCATATATGCAGCTTCATGCTCCGCGCCTACTGTCATGCTCATGGATACAGCTTTGTGCTCCGCGCCTACTGCCGTGCACGCGGG